GAGAGAGAGAGAGAGAGAGAGAGAGAGAGAGAGAGAAAGAGAAGGTTTGATTCTCTAATGGGGAGAATTTTCATATAGAGTATCTCAGTCTTTGTGCTGGGGCGTTGTATGATGCTGTGATTGGATCTTTGCCACGTACGCCCAAGGCGTACAGTAAAATCTCAGGCAGGAAGGTATTTAATGGAGTATCCCAATAATTTTTCTAATTAGACGTGTCCCACGAGTTCGAAGTTGTTGACCTCCTAAATTGCACCCTTAAGGATTTAATACTTTTATATCTATTGGATGCAAACAACACATTATTTGCTAATATTATTGCTCTGTCTCTTCTTTACAGCTTGCTGGAACAGATGAAGAGCCCCAGGGTTAAGGCCGTTGTGGGCGTGTTGCAGGTGTCCAAGTCGAAAACCTTGAAGAAATGGAAAGAACTGGTGGGTACTTTAGAAAAGACAATATTTAAAAAATCCCAGATAAAATTTAGTTTTGAATGATGTATGTATAGTTGTGAGTTATGTAACGGTTAGACAGACTCTCTGCATTGTTATCAAAAGCCATGGGGTCGATTCATAATTAATATGTAGGAAAAATAATAAATTCATTCGTCAAATATCTATTTATTTTACTGCTGAGAATAAAAGATCGATCCTTGACAAGCAAGGTCGAAGTGGACTATCTCCGGAGGATTAATGTTCGTTTAATGGATTGCTGTGTAAGCATTATCTACAATTAGTTATAATGTATTTTCGAAGCACACACACACCCACTCTCACACACACACACACTCACGCACTCACACACACACACACACACACACACACACACACACACACACACATACACTACGCACATACACACACACACATAATGACATTCAGTCACGCGCACGCACATACAAGTTTGCAGGCACACACTGTTAATGATCTCATCAGGATAGTTTGAGTTTGAGTAAACAGAAGCACACCAACACAATAACGGTCATAAAGTGCAGGGCGGGACAAATATAAACAGATAGACAGAAACAACAGAAGGAAAGAAAAGAAAACCAGTGGCGCCCTCCAACCACCCACACATAATGACT